CTAAATGGAGAGAACTTCCATTGAAAAAACACAGTCTTTAAAGGGCGAGTCAGAAGTCATTTTCAGGCCTGCCCGAGACCTGTCTTGCAAATGGCAGGGGTTTGCATACACATTTTTCCATTCCATTTCCCTCCATCCATTCCCCATCTCCTGCTGTCATCCGAAAGAGCGTTCAAACAGCAGGAGAAAGCGACTCTGTCTGCACCTGGGGAACCAGTGAGACTGACTATACACAAAGTGCTGCAAAGTGCACAAAGTAAACCAACTGAGCGAATGGAGCGACTCCATCGTTCAGTTCTCGTTAGTAACCTTTGGGGTTATACGTAGCAATAGTAGATATATTCGCAGACACACGTGCCTTCATTAAGCCCGTGTCCCCTCTAACTCCTATATTGTCCCCTCTCCTGCTCCTCAGCTCAGGTGTGGGGTGCCAGCATTTACAAAATGATAGTCAAAAACCCAAGTTGTGGGACTTCCTTTTAATTGCAGTTAAATCTGGAGCCTTTACACCATGTATTCAATTATAAAAACTTCTTATCTACTTTAGAGTGTTCTATTCTTTCCCCCAGAAGCTGTACACAATCTTTTTAAGTGTCATACTAAGCAATATACATCTTTTGCAATATACAAAATAAGTTAAATTACTCTGAAGCGCTGGGACAATCAATTCCCAAGCACACGTTTTTGCTGTTTGGAACTATCTCAGTTAGTTACACCTAATCTAAAATAAGAGCTTGGTCAGTGATGCACGTTTTCAGAAGTGACTAGTAATCTTCGATACCCCAACTGCTGGGTGTCCAGCTTCAGAAATAGTTTTCAATTGATAAATATTTCTGAAGCCAAAGCTCTCCGCTAGGTCTCAGATTAGCAGGTTTAGGTCTCTAAAGCACCAAAAATGAGTCATATAGAATTTTTCTTACATCAGTATATACTGGAAAAAAATAAGGATCATTTCTGTTGGATTTATTTTCTGTCTCCCAACATTTTAAGTGTACAGTCCCCAGCACAACTTTTAGGAAAGGGGAAGAAAAAAAATAAGACTACCAGGAAATGTGGGCTCGATCCTGCAAATCCTTATTTCAGACAATATCCTAAATGCTTCTGTAGAAGTTTTAAAGGCTTAAGGAATTGCAGAATTGTGCTCTTTCACATAAATTGCTGGAGTTTCCCCCACCATATTCAACACAAAAGTTTTTCAGAAAGTTACTGTTTTGGTTGAAGATATTTGATCTTTTTTTAATATATATATATATATTTATATATTTAAGGATTTTATATACCCAGTGAATTGGAAGCATACGTCAAATGTAAATACATACGTAGGGTGTGCGCTGCACATTATATCCGTATTACAAGCCTGTGAATAGTAGTCACTGCACATGTACCAAAACCAATTTTCAAGGCCTATATATTGCCATTTTCAACTAGATGATACAAATCTCTTCGTCAGACCAGTTCTGGGGGCTAGCATTACTGCCACGATTTATTTAAATTACTGCGTACAAAGTGAATCAAAAAAGCAGGTGCCATAAAAACCCCTCGTTTACTTTTCATCAAAGAAGTTTGTGAAAATACGTCATTTGAAACAATTATTTGTAAGTTCAGACCAGGCTTTCCTATTGAAGAGCATTGAAAACCAAGTTATAAGCGCCTGAAAACAGAGGTATAAAATGGACACCCTGACAATGAACTATTAAAATTATTCAACAGTTGCAGCATCTGGATAGCAACGTAGTTCAAATGATAGATGTGAAGACAAATCAGAACAAGTGTACCACTACCATACAATTTTCCTTTTGTGAACATACACTTTTTTTTCCTGCCATGAGGTTCCTGGAGTAAGGTCTCTCACCGAAAGTTCAGACACAGCAATCAGAAAACAGAAGTGAACAGAACACAAGTCCCACTAAGCCATCAGCTCCCGCTATACCACAAGTAACTGAGACGCTTTAATCCAAAGAAATCTTGGAGGTGACGTCCTTCGTAAATGAGCAATTTAGAAAAAAGCATCTCGGTTTCTCTCAAGTGCTGTTAAAACAGAGCAATCTTTTCATTAAAAAAATGAGGAAGATGCAGTAGTTTTATAATGTAATTCAACACGTTACGAAGTCAATCTATCAAAGAGTTGATTGTTCAGCACTGATCTTCCTACAAGAGTTCAACACTAAGGGGTTTTTTGGTACTTTGATGTCATTTTCCGTTTTTAAATCAAGAATATGCTCAGGTTTAGAAGACTCGATAACTAAAAGACAGCAACTGTGGTGAAACTGAGTTCTTAATTCTACCACCCTTCTGGTTAGATTAACGCACCATATTCATTAATTACAGAGCGGACCTACTGTGTGCTTTGTGTCGCTGATAGTCACACGAGCTGCAAGCAGGAAAGCAAATGGCCATATAGCCATCCTTTATCTTGGTGACACAAAAAAAAGTCCATTCCTCCACTCGATTTACAGGTTCTTCCCCTCACCAATGCTACCTAAACTGCGCAGAGAAATCAATTCACTTTCTTCCCAATCAGTTATACTCTGAAGAGTTTGCAGTTAAAAAAGACAAAGCTTTTACTGACAACCTGTGCGGAACAAACAAGAGATTGTTCAATAAATGCCTTCTATGTTCAGCCAATAGCTGCTTGTTCTTTTGCTGTTAAATCCATTAACGTTAAGAAAATCCCAGGCCCCCTTTACTCTGCTTCTCCTACGGTTTGAGCTTTCTGTTAGCCCAAAGCCCCATCACTCTTCAAAGACATTTAACTTCTGATCTCACGATGAGCAGAGAAGAGCACAAGACTGTAAGGACACCAAAGCACCTGGAGGACGTTTCCACTCTGGAATCCCATACACATACTGTAACAGCACGAACCCTGTGCGGCCTCATGTCAGAAAATGGCACCTTTCCAAATAGAAGACTGTACATTTCCCACCAAGCAGGAAACCTCAGAAATGAGAGAAATACGAGTTTGAAAACGTTAAGACTTTCTAGGGCATTTTTTGCCGTTTTTACTTGCACAGCATTCCTGCTGGTCTAAGGGGGAACTCTGGATCCCGGGGGATGAAGCTGTCTCAGGTACCAAAGGTGTCTTCTTAGAAGATAGAAAAGTTGTTTTTGAAAAGTAACATAGAAAGTAAAACTTGGTAACAACTTGTCATTCCACATTTTTAAAACGCGACACTCCTGATATAAGCTTCAATGCTCCAATTCTCCTTCCTGGTCTTTTCTGCTTTTACATCATTCCCAAAGTCAGGACTCAGTTTTTTCCTGGGTGGTATATCTGGTATTGTAACTCTTCTGTATTTTCCTCCATTCACAATTACGTGCCCACTAAGTATTTAACATTTGGGGTTGACTTTACAAGCAAGAATGTTGATCAGATACTACAGCACTGATCAGATACTACAAGGCTCCGTCAGGCAGCAAAAAAAGATTATGGCACAGCCAAAAAAAATGAGAAACCATCAGTTGCAGTGTTGCTGCACATAAATCAGACAGTTTGCACTGCAAATATTAAAAATGCTCAGCGATTATTAACATTGAAAAGTGGAAGCCATATGTTCTTGCTTGTTTTGAAACACAAGTATCTCAGAAATGCAGAAGCGCTACATTTCTGCATCACCTAGGCAAAGAAAAACACTACAGTAGCTTAAAATGCTACATATGCTTTGAAGAACTCATTCTAAACTTCTGTGGCTCTTCACTACCCTGTTTTAATATCTGCTGATGAAAACGGTTAATAGTTAACATTGGTAAGGTGGGAAAATATTTAATCTTGAATAGAATTAACTTCTCATTTAGAAAGAGAGTGATTTCTCCTTGTTTTAAAATCACAAGCTTCCTTAGCACAGCAGATAATGAGCGAGTTCCATCTTTCTGCGTCTCTGCTGATTCTAGTTTTGTAGCAGGATCTGTGCACTGCTAGGACCCAAATGAGGAAGAGTCACGGAGTGGTTCTGATAGAACTCGTGGAGGAAGAGGCGGGGAAACAAAAACAAGACTTTCAAGGCCAGAAGGCAGGTAATTTTTGGATCTAGGTTTCCTAAAGAGGTATTTAGTAACGGCCTAATGCCGGTTTTATTACAAGGAAACAGAAGTGCTTAATGACTGACTAGTAAATACAATATAATGGAAGGGAATCAGGTGGGGCAGGAAAGGAGAACTCACTCCTCGGTGGCAGCAGCAGTTTTGGTGCATCCATTGCCGGCAATGGACATCAACACCAGTCAAAAATCCAAATCTCAGAGCAAAAGGATTAATAGATGTGACCTTTTTGGATTTCAACGCTTGGCAGATCTGTTTGAGCTGTCTGTGTGCTACAACATGTACAAATGCTACAGCCTGCGTCTTAATTCAGAGTAAAGAGAAAACCAAATGCTACCCAAAGCAAATTTCAGCTCTGCTCTTTATGTGCCCCACGTTGTTTGTTTTTTTTTGTTTTGTTATCTTTTTTTCTTGAATAAAAAGCACATATCGCTTCATGCCTACTCAAAAGTTGATGAGATGTCTCGGAGTCAAGCGTTTTCTCTCAGAAATACTGCCTTCTTGAAATCAGTTGGTCACATGACAATTATTAAAATGTATTTTAAGAAAATTCTAATGGCCAAAGGCCAACACTACATTCAAAACCTGCTAATACATCCAGGCAGATAAGTAAAATCAAAACAAAAACACACACAAACCCCAAACAGAAAACCTCCAAAAGGAAAACTGTTCCATTTGTTTACTTCAATTTGAAGTAGATATTAAGGACATGAATGGACCAGTCACGGTTTATTTGAAAATCCCTCAATCCTCTGATGCACTGTCATTCTGTGGTCAATGCCGTTTGCACAAACATATTTCAATTCAGAATCCTCCAACAGATGGTGACACTCGAGTGGCCGGGCAGCTACCGCAGGGTTCTTTTGTCTGTAAAAGCTTGCAGCACGTCAAGATGCCATCCAACTTACAGACTAACTTCGCATCCATACGTCCTCCCACTAGACACTGTGCATCGAAGACCATCTGATGAACTATGCATGAGATAGCTTTAGAAATTCATGGCTAGCGTGTTTCGACTGTCAAAAACTTCATTACAGTACACTTTACTGTACAAACACTTTAAAGGATGTTTATTAGGAAAGTCTGCAAGTCATAATGGATAGTAGAGTCCTTGTTTATGGTACCTTCTTGGCCTCTAATAATTCTGTTTGCCTCCAGTATTAAAATCAAACTGCTTCCATGAAGGTGATTACTAAAAATGAGCTATGGTATGTTAACCTACAACTCACAAAATGCGACAGTACAGACATTAATTTTCTTTTTAACTGTCTGTTAAGTTGTAATCTAAGTTGTGAACATTTAAATATAATATATATCTCATATGAAAAAGCTAAAGCACAAGTGCTTCTGCATCCCCCCCCCCAACCCCTTGAGCCAAACCCACCCCAGTTCCGGTTTGGGCCCTGACCGATTTGGAATGCTTTCTTAGGCCACCCATTTCCACAAATTTGTATGCACTCAGGAAATATAAAGTCAAAAATATACAAATCTCTTGTTGTTATAAGGTTTTTGTGAGTGAAATTACCCAGGACCATGGACTTGGAAGGAGAAGGGGAGTTAAGAGAGGGAATTTACAGCAATTCATCTTCAAAGTTCAAAACTGGTCACTTCACAGAAAGACTGCAGGACTGGTGAAATTCTTGCTTCTAAAAAGTGATACTGTAGTGGAGAATTTTCTAGGAAAAATAAAACAGCTTTTAATAACTGGCCCGCTGGTATGAGCTACCGTGGAATAAATTAGCACAAAAATGGAAGTCTTATAACTGTTCACTGTTACAGACGTAATCAACAAGGTCAGTCACTCTCAAAAGTTCGTCTTCATCTTCCTCCGGCCCTACAGCTTCCTGCCCGCTCCCCGTCCCGTTGGGCGCCAGGCTGGCGCTGGCTGTGCTGTCCTTGGGGGCCTGGGTCTTCTCGCTCGGCTTGCCAATCAAGTTCTCAATGGTTTTACCTGGGCTCTGTCCGTTGGTGGAAGGCAAGTCCACCAGGCTGTAGTCCAAAGGGCTCTCTACTTTCCCT